CCCGCCAATTTTAGACCAGTTTCTGTACTACCAACATTTAGTAAATTTTTTGAAAAAATTATTTTAGATCGGATGTTAAGTTTCTTTAATATTAATAAATTGCTCCATAAAAATCAATTCGCTTTTACAAGGGGTCGCTCGACAACTGACGCTGGAGTTGAGCTTAATAAACATATTTTTTGTGCATGGGAGAACTCAGAGGATGCTTTGGGTATATTTTGTGACCTTTCCAAGGCCTTCGACTGTGTTCACCATGAGACATTACTCTGGAAGCTACAGTACTATGGTGTCAAGAACACAGCGCTTAAACTTATTATTTCATATTTTAGTAATAGAAAACAGAAAGTTATTATCAATGGTAAAAGTTCTTCCGGGTCACCTGTACTAATGGGTGTTCCTCAGGGCTCGATTCTCGGCCCATTCCTGTTTCTGGTGTATATTAATGACTTACCTCACCTTGAAGGGGATAGTCATGATATAGTATTATTTGCTGATGATACTTTCTTGATTTTTAAACTTAAACGTCAATCATTTAAATGTGACGAAGTGAATAATGCTATATCAAAATTAGTGCATTGGTTTAACGTTAATAATCTGCATTTGAACGGAAATAAAACTAATTGTGTTAAACTTACTACAATGAATGTTAAAAATCTGAATACCAATGTGTTTTTAAATGGGTAGGAATTGAGCCCTGTTGTATCCACTGTTTTTCTTGGCATCACTCTCGACGCAAAGCTTCAGTGGGGCCCCCATATATCTAAATTAGCAAGCAGACTAAGTTCTGCAGCCTATGCTGTAAAAAAGATTAGAGGTCGCACTAGTGTCGGGACAGTTTATTTCAGTTATTTCCATAGCATAATGTCTTATGGGATTTTGCTATGGGGAAATGCGGCTGATTCAGAAACTATTTTTGTTTTACAGAAGAGGACCATTAGAGCTATTTACAATCTAAAACCGAGAGAGTCTCTTAGAGATAAATTTAAAAAAATAAATATATTAACTTTGGCCTCTCAGTATATTTGCGAAAATTTAATGTATGTTCACAAAAACAAAGATAGTTTTAGTAAAAAAAAGTGATATACATTCTGTAAAAACTAGGAACAAACACAAGCTAATGATGCCAGTATCTCGACTCTACAGAGTCAGTAATTTATTCTTGGGGCAATGTATACGCTATTACAACAAGGTCCCGAAAAGTGTACAGGTTCTGTCTATTACCAAGTTTAAAGGTTTTATTAAGCTGAAACTGTATAAAAAGGGTTATTATAGTATAAATGAATTTGATAATAAGCCCTGGGAATGAGGTTGTCGCTTCCAAGCAGTTTCTAAAATAAATTTTGTAAATAGTTCGTAATTATTTATATTATAAAATGTATTTAAAAAAAAAGTCCCGCAGGGTTTCTTGCTGGTTCTTCCCAGGACAGAGGGTTTTTTTTCGAACTAGTGGTAAAGTAAAAAATGACTTTCAATAAGAATTACACATGTAATGTATATTGAATAAAAATTATTCTATTCTATTCTATTCTATAGTAAGTCTTATCAGACACTATTCCGATGATATTTCGGACGGCAGTCTGAGCGAGATTAGAATGGCTCTCCAGCACCTTAAAAACGGCAAGTCTCCGGGCGAGGATGGAATTACTGAGGAGCTTCTGAAAGTGGGTGGAAAACCGGTATTTGAAGTCCAGAGGCCTTTTAATTCCGTCCTCTATGATTGCACTTTACCGGATGCGTGGAGCAGAAGTGCGGTGGTCTTGTTCTTAAAAAAGGCGACAACGCTCTCTTGAAGAACTACAGACCGATTTCCTTTGTGAGCCGCGTCTACGTGTTGTTTTCGAGAGTTATTACGAATCGTCTCGCACGCAGACTCGGCGACTTCCAGCCTCACGAACAAGCCGGTTTCCGAAAAGGCTTTAGCACAATAAACCACATACATACCCTTCGGCAAATTGTACAGAAGACCGAGGAGTCAATCTGCCACTATGTCTTACGTATGTGGACTATGAGAAAGCCTTTGATTCTGTTGAAATTAGGGTGGTGCTGCAGTCCCTTCAGCGGTGCCAAGTTGACTGTCGGTATACCGACTGTACTGAAGTATTGAAGTGTTTGCACCTACAGTAGGGCTACAATGGCTATCCGAGTACAGAATCAGAGTACGAAACCTATCCAACTGCAGAGAGATGTAAGACAGGGTGACGTTATATGTTTTTTATAGGATAAGGGTGACAAACGAACACATAGTCCACCTAATGGTAAGTAGTTGCTGCGGCCCATAAACATCTACATCTATCCTCGATTACGAATTAAAATGCAGATGCGTTGCCACCCGTGAAGAATAAGATGGAATGCCTCGTTACCAGTAAAAAAGGTCTCCGGTCCCTACACTCACCATACGAAACACAGCAGCGTCGAGCTGCTATTTTACGTTGGTATTCTGTGAGAGCGTGGTTTTTCCCCAGTCGAGCCGACCCATTCGTGCTACAACTATACTACTAATATAGCTGCAGCATGGCTCTACCACGTATAAATTTGTTTAAAAAAACGTGGTACGTACCCCTGAAACTCTACACCGCTGCACTGGAAGACGTTTTCAAGGACTGGAAAGGATACGGTATTAACATAAATAGCGAATACATCACTCACCTTCGATTTGCCGACGATATAGTCCTTATGGCAGAGTCGCTGGAGGAACTAAGCACTATGCTCAATGACCTCAATAGTGCCTCCCAACGGATAGGTCTTAAAATGAACATGGACAAAACAAAGATAATGTGTAGGGTCCATGTACACCTATGCCGGTAGTTGTTGGGAGCACTAAGCTCGAAGTTGTTGACGAGTATATTTACCTGGGACAAATAGTCCGACTAGGTAAGTCCAACTTAGACAGAGGTCAATCGACGGATTCAACTCGGCTGGGCAGCGTTCGGGAAATTACGACACATCTTCTCGTCACATAAGTACAACTCAAAACTTGAAAACGAGATTGTACAACCAGTGCGTGGTGTCAGTAATGACCTATGGATCTGAGACGTGATCCTTCACTGCTGGTCATATGAGAAAGTTCAAGATCGCTCAGCGAGCTATGGAGAGAGCTATGCTCGGGGTTTCTCTGCGTGATAAACTTAGAAATAAGGATATCCGCAGTAGAACCAGAGTGTATGAACAGAACCATGAGTGTACCGACATAACCCAACGGATTAGTAAGCTGTACTGATACGTGATATGTGCGCGATAGCGCGATGCGCAGCTATTCCCTCTACGTTTCGTTCAACGCTAGACTTACGTGCCGCGACTTGTACTAGAGTAGAGTTATTTAGCAAATATAATTTATTTGTTTGCGGTTTGTTGTAGTGTGATGGCGAAAATGGAAAAATAGAACGAGTTACGCACTATTATTAAATATCTGAGCTGGAAAAAATTCATTACGGAGCAAGTCGGTCAAGAACTCGCTCCAACGTCTTCTACAGTTGCACTTTATTGAGTCGAATTAGAATGAGCATTCATCAAAGATTATTTTCACTCGGGACGCCTTGCGATAGCAATGACCGAAAAATTAGTTAAAAAAGTATAAAAATGTTTTGCAGATCGTCGTGCCACGGTACGTTTTATTGCTGAAGGAACATTGATTTCGACAGCTTAGTGGTGAAAAAAGTATCCGGTCGCAGTAAATTAAAAAGTACTCTGTACGAGAGCGACACTGAAAATTTTAGAACTGGCCACTTGTAAACGATATGTAGGTCACTCAATAAGTTTTGAGATATACAAAAAGTATTCTAGATACTATTAATATTTATTTTACATCTTTTCAAAATATTTTCCGTCATGCTCTATACAAAGTTCCATTCGCCTAAACCAACTCTGAAAACACTTTTGCCAGTCTTGATCTGACAGGTCGGAAATCGCTTCTTCGTAGGCAGCCACGGCTTTTCGGCGCTTGAAAAAAACTTGCCTTTTAATTTTTTCTTTGACTCTTGGGAACAAAAAGAAATCACAAGGAGCTAAGTCAGGGCTGTAGGGTGGGTGACTTAGAGTTTCAACACCAGATTTCTCAATAAATGCTTTTGTTCTAAGGGAGGTATGTGAAGAGGCGTTATCGTGATGCAGCATGATTCCCCGAAGCCCGGTCTTTGGTCTTCTCTCCCGCACAGCTTGAAAATATTTGGGTAATGCAACTGTAGTATATCATTCAGAGTTGAATGACCTACAATTTTCCAGCATTGACGTCGACAAATGTCCGCTCTGCGAAAAAAAACTAGCCACCATTTTTTTGCCGACGTTGCGAGGTCTTTGCAGTTTTGTCGGTAACTGTCCTTATGAGTATAACCCATGAAGCTAATACAAAGGGGAGACGGCATAAGCAACTGTGCACTGTGATTCTAAGTAGGTCCTGACGTCATCATAGTAGGCGTGGCTTTAGTTAGTATACTGTCAGCATTCGTCCTGTGCGCTATGTGTTGAAAAAATCGCAAATCGGTGTATTTTCGTAGTATTAAGAAGAAAAGGACGAAGTGTTGTGTTTTATTGTGTAAAAACTACTCAGATAGACGCTCTGATGTTATGGATGGCATCACATTTCATTTGTAAATAATTTTACACCTAATTTATTAAAATAGTTCTAGAAAAATCTCTTTGCGTCGGCTTTTAAATATAATTAAATATATTCCACACTAGATGGCGACACTTTGTCTACTGTGAACTAAAAATATAAAGGTACGTAGAGCTCAGTAATGATAAAATAATCATACGAAGGTGCTGAAATTTGTTTTGCATTCACACATAAAGAAATTTTAATCGCCAATATATTATTTTTATAGTTTATAATATTTCGTGGACATGCCGCCATCTACCGTCAAGGTAGCTAAGCTACATTGTAACATCGATATGGAAAGATTCGAGTAGTTTTACTATTTATCGGTAGATGTAGATGTAGTGTAAAGTGGGCGGGGCTTTGCATCCCCTCACCCCGCAAATTGTCACGAGTTGTTACATAGTGAAATTTAATTAAAACATCTCCTATTTATATTTGCTTCATGGTATAACCATACCGATGATTGCCTTTTATTTTCCGGATCATATTGATAGATCCATGTCTCGTCACCAGTAACGATTTCTGAAACACGCCTAGATGCCCCGTTTCTAAAACGTAAACGAATTTCATGCCACCAATCTACACGAGCCTGTTTTTCGCTTTCGAAGAGCAAACGAGGGATCCATCGACAACAAAGCTTCCTCACTCCAAGATGTTGATGTAGGATGGTATGAATGCTCCCCGAACTAATGCCTACAATCTTTTCGATGTCCATGTATGTGATTCGTGGGTCTTCTCGCACCAACATTTCAGTAGTCCATACATGTTCTGCCGTTACTGCATGTTGAGGGTCCCCTGTTTTTGGTCATTTTTAAGATTAATTATACCCCTTTTGAATTTAGCAAAACACCTAAAAATTGTTGCGCATGATGGAGCTGAGTACCCTAATGCTGATTGTAACCGTTGTAAACTTAATTGTTCGGTTAAATCAAATTTAAAATCATAATATATCATAGCGCGCAAATGTTCACGGTTAAGATCCATTGTTTTAAATAAAAAGCGCGGGAAGCGTTGCAGGAAAATTAATAGAACTTTGATTTTTTTTAATATTGAGCAATTGGCTTATGGAGTTCTATTTTTAAATAAATTTGCTTTTTAGAAACATATACAATTGCGTTCCATTTTTAAATTTCGAGCATTTCAAAACTTATTGAGTGACCTACGTATAATAAAAATATAAGTTCAATTTTGAAAATGTAACTCTTTGCCAATATTATGTAGGTATTTTATTAGTTTGTCATTAGTTTACGATTTGGTGGCAAATTGAAAATTGTCTGTGTCACGTCAGCATGAATTTAACGCGAGAAAATTTTCCTACAATGACTTTTTATGACTTTCGATGTCATCTAAGTCAACAAGAATGTTATGATAGACTTCTATTGGCCTTTCACGATGAAGCCTCATCTCGTGCCACTGTTTACAACTGGTTTAATGAGTTTAAGCGTGGTCGCACTAATCTCACCGATGATCTGTGTGACGGACGGCCTTCTACGGCGACGACTGAAGGTCACATCAGTGTTGTTGTGCGGCGTATGATAGAGACTGACACTATTGTCAGTCTCTATCACACGCCACTCATATGTCACTCTATTATCAGCAGATTCGGACAAGCTTAGGCATCGGTGTAAGTCAAATGCACAAAATTCTCCATGAACATTTAGTGGTCAGGAAGCTTTGCGCCCGGTGGATACCTCATAATTTGACAGAGGCCCAAAAACTCCGTCGTGTTGACTGGTGTCGTGAAATGGTTCAAAGATTTAACGGAGGCGACTCAAATGCTGTGTTCGACATACTTATGGGTGACGAAAGCTGGATTTATTGTTATGATCCCGAAACTAAGAGACAGTCTGCTGTCTGGGTGTGTCCTTCCGAGGTGTTAACAACTAAAGTGAAGAGAGGTCAAAGCGTGGGAAAAAAGATGGTGGCCTCGTTCTTCGGAAGGACAGGTCATTACACAACAATCGTTTTAGAGGATCGAAAAACAGTTTTTTTTTATAGGAGAGGGGGCAAACGAGCATGCGGCTCACCTGATGGTAAGTGACTACCGCCGCCCATGAACAACTGCAACACCAGGGGAACCAGGGGAATTGCAGATGCGTTGCCGGCCTTTTAAAAAGGAGTACGCTCTTTTCTTGAAGGTCCCTAAGTCATATCGGTACGGAAAAATCGCTGATGGTAATCGATTCCACAAGGAAGTCGTGCGAGGAAGAAAACATCTTCTAAATCGCACAGTGGTGGACCGCCAATCATTCAGATGGTGTGGATGGTATCGGGAGTTCTGCCGCGATGTGCGTTCGTGAAATTTGGCGGCTGGGATTAATCCGAACAATTCCTCAAAGCACTCCCCATGGTAGATGCGTAAGAAAATGCAAAGGGATGCAACATCTCTTCGTAGTGCCAATGAATCGAGCCGATCGGAAAGGGCTCGGTCTTCGACGATTCGAGCTGCTCTGCGCTAGATGCGGTCAAGTGGAAGGAGCTGGCACTGGGGAGCCCCTGCCCAGAGATGGGAACAGTATTCCATGTGAGGCCGAACCTGCGTCTTGTAAAGTTGCAGGCGGTGTGCCGGCATGAAATACTGTCCCGCTCTGCTGAGCACGCCAAGCTTTTTAGAGGCCAATTTGGCCTTGTCTTCCAAGTGACCACGAAACTGCACGTCACTCGATATGTCGACTCCGAGGATACCGATACTGGCTGAGGCAAGAAGGGGAGTGCCTTGAAACTGAGGAGATACGACAAAGGGGTTCTTTTTAGCGGTAAACGCGCAAACTTGTGTCTTCTGAGGATTAAACTGGACTAGATTTAGTCACCCCCAATCCGAGACTTTGTACAGCAAAGACTCGACTTCAGACACAAGTTTGTTCCGGTACTCGGCGACGTTTTCCCGAGAAATATTGGCACGGCCGGTGTACAGAGCATCACCAGTGCTGTCATCCGCATAGCAATGAATGTTACCAGTTAGCAACATATCATTGATATGCAGAAGAAACAGCGTTGGTGATAGCACACAGCCTTGTGGAACACCAGCGTTAATAAGCTTGTAGTCAGAACATGCACCGTCTACAACGACCTTGATGCTCCGGTCTGCAAGGAAGCTGGTGATCCAAATGCACAATTTCTCGGGAAGCCCACAGGAAGGGAGCTTCGAAAGAAGCGCCAAACCCGATCGAAGGCCTTCGCAATGTCCAGACTAACGGCCAACGCCTCCCCCTTGGACTCTACTGCCTCCGCCCATCTATGGGTCAGGTAGACCAGAAGATCACCAGCTGATCGACCCAGTCTTACAGGAGCGACCAAACCAAGGCTGAGATCTACCTCCGATGGGTACCACAGATGATGGAATAAATAGTTCCATTCCCTGTAGCACCACATCAGTGACAGAGTCAGCAACAGCGTTGGGATCATCCGGCGAGAAGCAAACCCGCCCCCATAGGTAGGATGCAAAGAAAAACCGCATTCCGTCCCAATCCGCCGACCTGTAATGCCAAACACGGCGGCAACCTGCAGAACGCAACCGCGAAGGGAGCGTGAGTGGCACCATACTCCGGATCAGACAATGGTCCGAAGAGCCGAGAGGGGCATCGACGGAAACCCGATATCCGTCCGGATGAGAGGTCAGCAGAAGGTCCAACAGGGAAGGTGTATGATCCTCCACATCTGGAATCCGCGTAGGCGAAGTAACCAGTTGTGTCAGACCATATGCCAAGGCAAAGTCATAAACAGATCTCCCCGCATGATCAGTTAAACGTGAACCGAGCCATTCGGCATGGTGGGCGTTAAAATCGCCAAGGATCACGATCTCTGCGGATGGGACCTGTTGTAGCAAGGAATCTGTAGCCATTTGGACGTGGTCGATGAGTCGGTTTGTTTCGGCATTACCGCTATGGGACCTATAGAGGCACCCGTAGACGCGCGGATGGTCGTCGCTGTCTACGCGTAGCCAAAGGATGGACAGGTCCGAACTTTCAAGACTGCCGAGGCGTCGAGAACAGATGTCCTCTCTGACATACACGCAAACTCCAGCCCGAGGCACAAAGGAGTGCTCCAATTTGTACCCCGGGTAGGAGAGATACGAAATATCAGCCGGAGAGGAAACCTGCGTCTCGGTCAGAAAGAGCAAGGCCGGCCTTGCCGTCTCGAGATGGTAGTGGACGGCGTTCAGGTTAGAGTGAAGTCCCCTGATGTTGCAGAAATTCACGGATAGCGTGTTGCCCCCCCCCCCCCCAGGATACGCGGGGCAGCCTGAGCACCCACGCTCAGGATTGGAATAACATGGTCGTGGATGCTTTCGAGGGATTCTCCAGGGGTACTGGTACCATCCTGGGGTAGTCTATCGTGTAATTCCGCTACCATGTTGATGGAGGGGAGGGGGGGGAATTGGGCCTCCGGCCACCTGCACTCACCAGACGAAACGCAGAAGCAGAGATCTACTTCACGCCGGTATTCTGTGAGGTCGTGGTACCAACCCGGCTCGAGCCGGCCCATACGTGCAACAGCAAAAACTGCTGCGTGGCTCTACCACCGATAGTTACTGCAGAGTGGTACACTAACATTAATATTAATTATATATACTCGTATTAATCGTAAATCTAGTAACGTCATTGCGTTGCTAGCGAGACGTTTTGCCAGCAACGCAAATTTCAATGGTTCGTTGCGGTGAAAATTTTGGAGCAACTAATTTATAAACTTGGTACTTAATTAGCACCTAAAAAGCCCCTAATTTGAACTTTTTCTGAAAGCATTTTTGATTCTATTTTGATTTTCAGGAAATCTGAATTTTGCGTCTGTTATGTTCTGAATAACGACTTTATTTTTATTAGGGGTGCCTTGTTATTGCGTATACATGCAGCACCTAATTAGCACTTAATTCCTTGCTATTAATATTTATCGTATATCTAATAACTTAATTGCGTTGCTAGCGAGACGTTTTGCTACACAAATTTTAACAGTTCGTTGCGGTGAAAATTTTAGAGCACCTAATTTTTAAACTTGGCACCTAATTAGCACCTAAAAAGCACCTAATTTTGGATTTTTGCAAATGCAAATTCCCGACTTTGCGTTGCTGGCGATACACAACTAAAAAGAAGTCTAATATTTTTAATGATATAATTGTACTAAGTCTTACTCGAGGAAAGAAAAGCTATTTATATCCTTTAAACTATTTGGGAAAGATAAAATCCCAGAAATAATATGCCTTTCAGAAACTTTTTTAAAAGCTTGTTACAAAAACTATTTAAAAATAAATGGCTATACCTTGGCGGCTGCTTTTTGTAGGGATAAGAATAGAGGTGGTACGTGTATCTTGACAAAAAACAATATTAATTTCACCGAACTCACACACTTACAAACATATGCTATGCAAAAAGTTTTTGAGGTATGTGGCATAGAAATACCTTTTCACAAGCTAATTGTTATTTGTATTTACAGAACCCCTTCCGCTGACCCTACCATATTTCTAAATAAATTGAGCTATTTACTACATGATTTATCAAAAAAAGTAAAACCAAATTACAACATTGTTATAGTAGGTGATTTTAATATAAATACCTTGAAACCTGGCAGCCTAACATGCCACTTGAAAGATCTTTGCAATAACTATAATTTGAAACTCCATATCGATGTTCCAACTCGGAAAGAATCGTGCATAGATCACATCCTTAGTAATGTGAAGGACGCTACTGCTCATGTACTGCCTCTCTGTCTGTCGGATCATGAAACAGCGCAACTACTGAGTATTCCGATCCAAAA